CTCGACCTGCGACGACCCTGATTAATTTGCTCACGGATACCAAGAGGAATTTCTTTCAATCCACCACCACTCTCTTCTCTCTCTCTCTCTCTCTCTCTCTCTCTCTCTCTCTCTCTCTTCTCCTTCTCGTCCTTCTCCTTCTCCTTCTCCTCCTCCCTTCCTCACTTCCCCCTTCGGCCGGTCTCGCACGCTCAGCTGCTGCGTGCCGCCGATGCTGCTGCACTTCTCTGCCATTGCACGCGCCCGATAACGGACCATTTTCTCTTCATAATAATTTTTAGTGCTAATTTTAGAACGGCGAGTTGTGTGTTTACTTTTTTATGGCAATTGATTTAGTGAATTCGTAAAAATAGGAATGTGTAAGTCGCGCTTATTAAGTAGCGTATATAAATGCGCGTATTTGATTAAAAGCTTTATTTATTAGAACAATTAATAATTATGATTAGTTTTTTTACTATTTTTTCTTTTCTTTGACGAGCTTAAACGATTAATATAGGAGTTAATATTATTTCGAGTTTTATGGATACGTCAGCAATGATTGAAAATTTAATTCTAAATACAATGGTAATTCGGAATTTTTATAAACTGCATTTCCATTAAAATTGCCTCATCGATAATTTCGATATTACTTTTTTAATATTCATAATTGGTATACGAGCAATTAAAATAGTACAAAAAGTGTATATTCTTCGGCATAATTGCTTTGCGTCTAATGTAGTGTGCTTAAGACTAAATTTGAAGTTATCGGGAAATTAATATGAAATTTATAAAACCTTATAGAACGCACATTATAGAGAGTATAAAATGTGATTCATTTTGCGATGTTACTGCCCAAGCATTTATTCATATATTCTTTCAACATCCACAAATTAAAGGATGAAAAAGAATTCTGTTGATGTTATACGTAATATTTAACTTTATCATCTTAAATCAACTGACCCAAGTTAACTAAAACTTCAATTTATTTTTCATTTATGTATGTAATTCTATTAAATTACTATCATAATTCTCAGTGTCATACGAGACTGTCAGTTTCATGTACTAATAAATCGCGTACCTTCTAAACATTATAATTTAAAATTAAATAAATGTGGCCGCATAAATATATGATTAAAAATTTATCGATGTCTAAATATTGATTTTAATAATAAGTGCAATTTAAATCATCAGGCGGCAAAAATAAACCACAGAATCCGACTAAGCGCAAGTCATATCCTTCTAAAAAAGCTGATTTTAACATTCTAATTAAAGCGCTGTATTCCTTGTGAAAAAGGAACGACTCTTTTTTTCGATAAATTATGTTTAATCTTCGCTTAAAAAGAAGCACTCCCTCCTCCTTATTTCGCGGCGTTTTATTCGCGACGGCTGTTTCGCATGTTATAAAAGGTAGTTTGAAACTTTTACTTATTTTGCGAATAAATATTCGATAACATCTGTCTGGGTATTTCTCTTAGGAAACTGGGAAGACGTCCTTTCTCGCTCACTGTTTTCTCCTTATAATCCCCGCGTAACGAAATTCGATTATTATTAATAACTGCATAATCCCAAGATGGCTCGAATCGAGCAGGCATTTTCTTATCGATCCAAAGCCGCCACCGCCGGCACCGTCACTACTCCCTTCAACTCGCAAAGTCGACTTGACTACACTCCGACACCTCCCCCCCCCTCCCTCCCTCCTCCCACTTCCCTTCCCCCAATATCCCACATCCCCCCCACCCACCCCCACCCATCCAACCACCCAACCACCGCACCACTTGACTCCAGTGGCGCATTTAGCGCAAGACCGCAAATTTGTTATTAAGACGGCAAGAGCAAATTTATTGAAAAACTTTCAATATCCACTTGTGTACGGCCGAAGGGACGCATTTACTTCCCGTGTTAATAATAACAAATGTTTCGGTTTTACGAGGAGTTTGCTTTTCTCTTTCGTATTCAGTCCGCAGATGTTACTATTTGCAAGAATAAGAAACTGGAAAAGTAATTTCAATATTATCCTACGGTAGATTATTCCTCTAAGCAGATTATTATTAATTTATGTATTCGTCATAATTAAATATTATTAATTTGTTGGCTTGTCTGGAGCTTGATTGATAGGTTGGCAAGTAATGCCTCCCAATGCTACGAGCTTTTATTGACTTAATAAAAAAAGCTCTCGAAACGTAATCACGTATGCTTATAATGCTTGCCCTCCTCTTTCTAATGCCTTATAGAATATCGGTATAGCGAATAATAGAATTTTGCATTTTCAATTTAAAGAAGTAATTTCGTCAAAAATTGCTCCCCCAACATGGATTTTCTCCTCGAAGGGTAAAATAAAGAATATCCGAAAATCTCATGTAAATGAGTAAAATCAATCGCGAATTTTAAGATTACTTTTAATAATGCTGGATGCCTTTTTTACATTTGCGAGATTTTTATTCGACACTTTTATTTAACGTGAAAGATAAAAATGTTGTTCTCCGCTGGCGTATTCAATATAAGAGGACAGTGATACTTTTTCCTATTATTTCAAAAGCCACGGCCTCGTACATCCCTGTACTGTCGCATGAAAACAAAAATTCGCGATACGTGAATATATCCATTCTCAGAAATTTCCATACGCGTACGCTCCGAATTTCTCAAAGTCACATTCCTACGGTGACGAAAAGACTTGGTAGGATAAAATAATAAAGAACCAAAGCTATAAGGAAAAGTTAAGAGAGACATACGCATGCACACTCGCGCGCAAATACATACACACAGGAAGAGAGAGAGAGAGAGAGAGAGAGGACTAAGGTCGCAATAAATTCCCAAAAGCGACTGCACTTTATCAAGACTCGAGATCCGAGATTTATACTACAAAACGAGTCTACGCATCCCGGTACATTTAGGAAATCGTTGCAGCGCCTCTTCTTAATATAAATTTTTCCCTCCCCGACTCACCCATCTCTTCGCGTGTAAAGAAATGTTGTTAAATTTATGCGCTTTCGATCGCTCTCTAGCCTGTGAAAGTAAATATTGGAAAAATAGTGTGATGTAAAAATATTTTCAGAGTCTAACTTGTCTCACTTTTATCGAGTTTCAGCAATAAGAGCTAACGCTGAAACTTTTGATTTGAGGATTATCGCACAGACGGCTTGAATCAGTTACAAATCATATTTGTATCCTTGTATACTCTGCGACGAATAATGCATCAGCAATTTGTACTATCAATGATAAATCAAATATCGAGGATAATTAATCACATCTTACGTGTACCATCAATCTTGTCTAGCTTGCGCCAAGACATCTATCTAATAATTAAAGTGTTAAAATATAAATATATAACTTTATATGCAATTTATTAATAAACTTTATCGGTAAGTGAACTTTATGATATCGACATTTTAATGCCGGTATCATATTTCGCATACAAACATACAATCGATGTATAAATGCTCGATAATATATATGATATTGGAAATTTTATTTATTATTTTTTAACGAATAAAATGCAATATTTTTCATTGTCTTAAAAAACATATTTTTCTTAGGATTCAGAATATAGATTGAGAAGATTTTTTCCTTTGCAAAGTATCGGAATAAGTTACAAAGTATTGTATACATGTAATTACATGTAAACGCATTTTACTCGCCTACAACACGCGTCGTTATATTATTGTAGGATTTTTTTTCTCTTTGTTTTCATAGTTGTTATCCTTACATAACGATCTTATCAAACGAAATATTAAGTGTTTTAGTGAAAAATTTATTCTTAAAAAGGTTATATTGTAAAAGAAAATATTCTTTAATAATAGTCGATATTTATTTGCCAATGTAATCAAATATTGAATGATGTATAAAAGAGTTATTACTATTTTTATCTTCTTAATACCAAATAAGACAAAGACAAAGAGTTTATGAATGTGAAATAACAACTTCAATTTATCATAAATTCAATAAGTAAACATTACATAAATATTAATTGCCAATTTATTTATTTATTTTTTTACATTCAATTACTTTTAATTAATAAAATAATTAAAATTAAATATACTATCTAATTAATAGCATTTATGTCTTACGAAATATATATATATATATATATATATACACATTATTATTGCCATATAGCCATAATGATAATATTTCCATGCTTATGTAAATACGAATTAATAAATTTTAACTTATAATAAAATAAACTGAATTTATTTCAAATCGGTTTAATATCCTGTACGAACATAATCAGTTCGATATTATCAAGACATTGTAAATGTTATAAAAAAGTTCTGCTACTATTTTAATTCTACAATCGGAATTGCAGAGCATTTGCAAAAGGAAATAAAGTTGTTTTAAAATTAAATTTAGGCTCTTAAATTATTTGCATTAGTGCATTTAATAATACACTTTGTAAATATAATAATTGTAAAGACAATTTTATAATTACAATTATTTGTTCTTTCAATATAACATTACCGTCGACTAGTGATCAAGAAAGCAATAATATTTCATTGTCAAATAGCAGCCACTTAATACACATATTTTAATTGATAATAATTTGATTATGTAATGGTCCTTGTCAAATTCTCCATCTCCCCCTACTACTACTACTACTACTACTACCACTACTACTACTACTACTACTACTACTACTACCACTACTACTACTACTACTACTTATTGTCACTAATCGACAACCTAAAAAAAAGTAAGAACTGTACCCGATATCTCCATCGTATTACCCATACCACAACCGTCACATGTTTTTTGTTTTTTTTTGTTTTTTTTTTAATCAGACGAATAACATTAGAAGAGAGTCAAAAAATAAGAAAGTCACGAGTTCTCTCGCATCCATTATACCGCGCAAACGTAATATAATTCTTGTTGTATTGCATGCCCGCGGTATGCCCGAGTCTGGCTGTCACTCGTTGTCTCTCGGAAACCAGTTCCGAGCGAGAGCTGGAAAAGTGCTCGAGCGCGTATAAATAATGGAGGTCAAGGGACGCGAGGTAAGGCAGACGACTGGGTAGACGACTACTCACCTTTTTCAGGTGTCCCTCGCTCGTTCCCAGGAAGACGACGGTGTAGTCGCTGGTCGAGGTCGCGGCGACCGCCGTCAGCAGTGTCTTGTCAAAGGTGAGCACCGGGACTGCGGTCATCGGTTCCTGGCCGCCCAGCGGCGTGTTCACGTCTAGTCCGCAGAAGTCTTCACCGATGGTTTGTAGCTTCTGCAAATGCAACATTCCGCTCATTTATTACCTGCTTTCCAATCGATTTTAGTGGTATCTATAGGTATCTATAGATATTTAGACCCACGCACACACATACACGCAGACCCACACACACACACACACACACACACACACACATATATATATATAGAGAGAGAGAGAGAGAGAGATAGATAGATAAATAAATTTGTGGGGAGTTTGTTAGACTTCTGGTTACGATATGCAGTATGATAGGAATTGCAAGTAATTTCTATTCTTCGAAGGAAAGTTTTCCTATTATATTAGCATGAAAGAAAATTACTTATTTCTAGTAGAAATATATTTCCTATCTGTGTCTCAACTTAAATCAAGATTTCTAAAAACTTGCTGTCTATCCACATTGTCTGTAAAACTTAAAACTTAATGTTTTGTACGTAACCTTGTTGTATAAAATACTATACTAATTATTTCCTTTCTACTGCATTCTCAATAAAACAAATTGAAGCCTTTTTCTTAGAGAAAGTCTATGATTCTTCATGAGGTACTCCATAGTTTGAAAATTAGCGTTTAGCAAATGTCTAAGCCTTTTCTTATCAATTGTATTAGTGCAATTAGCAGGTTCATTAATTTCTCAAATTTTGTTAAATATTACACAATCGTCAAGATTAATATAGAGATCTTACATTAATTATACCTTCATTGTTGTTAATTCGCTCACGGCAACTTCTTACATAAAATATAATTAGCCAATAATGTCGTAAGCTTGGCATAGTTTTTGTTAACAACGACAATTTGCATCTATTCTAATATCCATAAGCATAGCCGATGATAGAGTTTATTTAATGCAGTACAGACGTTTTTACCAGCTAATGTATGGTTAATTGCATTGTACCACATGACCATAATGTGCTTATATTATTTATCTAGAAATATTTACTCCTGATTATTATATTGTATTTATTATATACGATTTTTCAATGGACTTTCGAATAGATCGATTAAGATAATATTTATGATAAAACGAAATTTTACTATATAAATAATAGAATTATTTTTTATTGTCATTCATAAAACGATGTACGCAGAAAAAAAAAAAAAAAAAAAAAAAAAAAAAAAAAAAAAAAAAAAAAAAAGAAACGGATTGGCAATCGTCCTTAGATCGTATTTTTATGATAATAAATCGTCTTTAATACGTAATATTTAGTATAACTTGCAGCAAAATAAGCAATAAACGATAAAGAGCTTTACATATTCAATTTTATTCCAGAATATTTATACCTAAATATATCCGGTTTCGTATAATAAAGCCAATGTCGAGTGCTATGGAACTTTTTCCTCCTATATTCAGCAATAAATAAGGTAAACACTGCGATCAATGCTCCTCGAGTACACAGAAACGTTAAAATCGATGCAAATTTATTTTTGCCTACAAAAATTTCACCAGCGCAACAGGTAAACATCGACATCGGTTGCCCTATGAATCTCTAGACAATGAATGCAATACTGTCCGACATCTATACGTGATAGTCTCTGATGTGCAACCAATAAATATTGATGTAAACTGATATCGAGCAGATTTAAATATTTCAGTGAACAAGTTTATCTGGACAATCAGAACCGAGCGGTTTTTCTCTCTCAATTGCATATCGTTATGTAATATTAATACGGGGATAACATGTTAAGTTGCGTACATTTCTACAGGGGATTGAAGAAACAACATTAATTAAAACAGTAAAGGGAAATATTTGTTGGGCAAAAATAGAATGGACAGAAGAGAAAAAAACTGAATTTAAGCTTATTATAATCTGTAAACTGTCCGTACGCATATATGTATATATATATATAGATATATATAAAGAAATAAAAATAGATTAAAATTTTTCTCTCCCACGATATAAATTTCATTTCTCCTTACATATTCAAATCTGATCATGTTATCGTTCACAATAATTCCGAATAATTTATTCAATAATAATAATCGTCAAAACGCAGATCAGAATGAAAGGATTGAGTGGAAAAGATAGCGAGGGGACCGTGGCGAGGAGTGTATGGCGGAGGGCGGGAGGGAGGAAGGGGGCCGACTCGAGAGGGAAAAAGAAAGAGACGGACAAGGGTAAATCCCTACAAAGAGGTCGTATTAGCGTAGGAAATTCATTTCTCGGTAGCTACCGCGCATTCGAATTCTAAAGTCTATATCCGAAGTACTTGGAATTGTCGAAGCTTTCGCGGAGGGACTTTGGGTTCGCGAAGGCAGCGGAGCGAAATCTCTGGCCGAAGAAGCAGTTTCATCGGCTCTCCAGTGACGTCGTCACCACTATGCAAGTCTTGAGAAAAGCAAGAGGCGTAATCCAAGATGCAAGAAGGTACACCCACACGCGCGCGCGCGCGCGCATGGATTTAAGTCCCGTTTATACGCTCACGCTGCATTCAAATCGCGTCCTCACAAAAGGAATGGCGCGTCCTTCTCCTCTTTTATTATTTTTTTCATTTCACCGCCCTCTCTTCCACCCGACTCCCACAAACTCACAATCCCCTACCGCACACCTTACCTTGCGGTTCTCCTTTTCACTCGAATCATATTAGAAGCCCTTTCAATGTCTCGGAATAAATTTCAAATGTTTTTTCGGCACGTGAGCTTAAGCCTGTATTTTATGCTTGTTTTATTGTACTCTACGAGGAATATAATGATGAAATTCATAAATCACTTTTCAATTTCATAATGTCAAGTTAGCATTAATGAATATTAAAGTTTTGATAAATATAATGGGAGATAAGATTTATATTACTATTTTAAATTAATTTTCGCGCCAAGAAAAAGGAACTACTTAATTTACATTAACGCAAGGCAACTAATTAAAACGAATGAAAAATGAGTAAATATTGCGAATCTCGCTCTGATACTATCGGACACTCAGTTGATGTTACAGAAATTTGTGTTGCCCAATTATTTACTTAGTAAAGTATTAAAATAAACACTCTTTTTAACTGCAATCCTTTAACACATCAGCACCAATCGCAAACATCGCACCTTATTATCCGAGTAATCTCATCCTTATAATTAATTTCATCGTTCATTACGTACTTTCACGATACAAAACGAAGAAGAAGAAACAAAGAAAAATATAGATTATATATATATATATATATATATATATATATATTATATATACATACATTCAAGCATATACACGCGCGCGCACACGGCCACGCACATAATGTTATAAATTAACTTTTACACATTTCTCGTATCTTACCCTTGAGAATAATTTATCCATTTATTGTATAGAATTTTTCTTTACATTGGCTTATATACCGTTCAAAACGGCAATACACCTTTATAAAATTTATTTCTACGTCAATCACGTATAATTATTAACATGACATTAAGAATACGCGAAGATGGTTCTAAATGTATGCACATAATTTATGAGTAACGATTAGACTTTTCGAATAAATTGATTCGAAGGGCCGATTTATTACGTTAATCAATATAATTTTGAAATTATTACAAAAATATTTTCAATCTACCAGATGATGATCCGAATATCGTTGAATAAGTCACAGTAAAAGCAAATTCCTTAAAAGAATTGAATAAACAAAAACAAGTAAAAGACAGTAGTTTGGCCGCAGTGAAGTACGTTTTAAAGTACCTCTTGGATATAAATTTTGCAGATGTTGAGAGAGAGAGAGAGAGAGAGAGAGAGAGAGAGAGAGAGAGAGAGAGAGAGAAAGAAAGAGAGAGAAAGAGAGAGAAAGAGAGAAAGAGCGATCGAGTGAGAGCTAGTGAGGAAGGGCAGGAAGCATTGGTTGCTTTTTTGGATGGTGGGTGGCGGTGCGGCAAGAGGGAGGAGGGGTGTGTACAGGCTAGGGCTGTAAGAGAGACACCCGAGTAGCAATGCGACGCGACGTTGTAGTTTTTAGCGGTGGCATTTGTTGGATGCACGAGGGAACATTATAATACGTGCTCACGGTGATGTCCGATGCGCCCACCAAGTCCAAGGAAGGAAACAGGCAGCGAAACAGAACGGGGGTAACGGCGGGAAGGAAGGAAAGAAACAAAGAGAGCATAAAGCGTCGCCAAGCGAATGAAAGGCTGGATGTAAAGTAAAGAAGGGAGACGGAGAAAAGGAATGGGCGAGAGGCCAGGGTCGACATACACGTAGAGGTTAGAGTGTGCAGAGTAGGAGTCGACTCTATTTACATTCCTCCGTACATTCACCGCTCTGTATACTCTCTGACGAACAATTATTTGCATTCCTTGGCGCACACGACGCCGTCGTGGCAGCAGTCCTTCTCTCCTCTTTCTTTCTTTCTTTCTTACTAACGCATTATATGCGTATCGACGTTGATATAGGGAGGAACGGAGGGTGAATAGAGGCTGACAATTATTATGGAAAAACACGCGGTGAGGAAAAAAGAGGACGAGCGAGATGGTAGCTTGAGATGAGGAAGTAGTAACAGACGACAAGACGAGACGATTCTTCGGCGACAACCAAAACGACACGCGAGGGATGTCGCGCTGGATATGCAGAGTCGATGCTGCGAGGATCGCAGTGAAACAAGGACAGGGAACCTTAGCTGGCTATTATATAGTTAAAGGAACGCCTTGAGCAAATGACGTGTAGCTTTAAGGGCAGAACTCACTCCTGTCAGGTACTTTATCACTATTTTTCTCTTGAAATGGTCAAGAAATTAAATTATCTAGCCTCTTTCGATCTCTATTGGACATGCAAGCTAAATAGAATTGGATGTTATGCTTCTCGACAAGTATTTCCAATATGTAGTTACAGTTTTTAATTCGCTAAAGGAGGTCAGAATCTCCAATTTATATTATATTTTATTCTATATTTATCAAAGCAAAAATTTTATTATCGTACGGTTTATTTTTTATTTTTGTTTTTTGTTTTAATCAATGGGTGTGCGAACATTATTACTTATTGGATGAAAAACATTATTCGGAATGATATCTGCATGCGTATAAACTTATTAAAAGATAGACAAATTAAAAGATTTAGTCA